GACATTTAATAGAATACCAAGCTTGCAAACTTTGTGTTTTGTCTGCCTGTTTGTTTGTTTGTTTTGTTAAAAATGTAATACAACTGTCTGGTTCCTCCTGACACGATAAATAAATAAATTGCATTCTGAAATGTACAACTAATAACTATAACTATAATATATCAAATATGTTCACTCCAATGAGAAGTAGCCTGGTGTTTAGGCATTAACTTTTTTGCTATAGCTCAGTGGTTCTCAACCTTCATAATGCCGCGACCCCTTAATACAGTTCCTCATGTTGTGGTGACCCCCAACCATAACATTATATTCATTGCGACTTCATCACTGCGATTTTGCTACTGTTATTAATCATTGTGTAAATATCTGATAGGCAGGATGTATTTTTCATCCACTGGACCAAATTTGGCACAAATACCCGATACACCCATATTTGAATACTGGTGGGATTGAGGGAGATTGATTTTGTCAATTGGAAGTTGTAGTTGCTGAGACTTATAGTTAACCTACATTTAAATAGCATTCTGAACCTCACCAACGATGGAATTGAACCAAACTTGGCACACAGAACTCCCATGACGAATAGAAAATACTGGAAGGGTTTGGTGGGCATTGACCTTGAGTTTGGGAGTTGTAGTTCACCTACATCCAAAGAGCACTGTGGACTCAAACAATGATGGATTTGGACCAAACTTGGCACAAATACTCAATATGTAAAAAGGTGAACACTGGTGAAGTTTGGGCCAAATAGGCCATGACATTTTCTGGGATTTATAGTTCACCTACAATCAAAGAGCATTCTGGACCCCACCAATGATAAATTGGGTCAAACTTCCCTCACAGAATAATAATAAAACTTTATTTATACCCCGCTACCATCTCCCCATGGGACTCCCCATGACTTGAAGGGACTCTCTGGTGTGAGCCTCCCTCCAGCCTCACACTCTCTCACTTGATCACGCATGCGCACAACGCTTCCATGCGCCAAGCACACCTGCTCTCCTCTCTCCCACTTGGAGTCTCAGAAACAGCCCTCCCCTTGGCTGTGAGGCCAGCTGAGAGGCCAGCCAATCAGAGTGGAGGAGGGCTTTTGGTGGGAGGCTTGGCCATCAAATTTTGGCATATCAGGTATGTGTGCCAAGTTTGATCTAGATCCATCGGTGTTTGGGCTCACAATGCTCTCTGGATGTAGGTGAACTACAACTCCCTCAAATCTAGGTGAATTTCCCCCCAAAGATCTTCAGTATTTTTTGCTGGTCATGGGGGCTTTGTGTGGCAAATTTGGTCCAATTCCATCTTTGGTGGAGTTCAGAGTGCTCATTGATGGCAGGTGAACTATACATCCTAGTACCTATAACTCCTATAAATCATGGTGAGTTCTTCCCAAACCTCTCTAGTATGTTCAGTTTGCTGATCAATTCCTTTGTTTACTTTGTGGCATAGAAAAAAATAGGAAAGGCTTAAGGGAGTGGCAGTGGGCGGGGTCATGCAAATTCCACATCAATGGAGAGAGTAAGGAACACTGGGATGTCAGTGTTGGAGGAAGCACATGAAATCTAGGATGAAATGGTCATCTATGAAAGCCTTCACTTGGGTGGTGGGCAGTATGGTGTTTGAGGAGAACATTGGCAGGGTTCTTCTACATGTTCATGGCACTCACTATAACCTGCAGTAGTGTCTCCTGAGTAGTGGGAGCTAGAGCTGTTTGTGGAGGCAGGACCTTGTCTGTGTAAGTGGGCATCCTAGCCACATAACCAAATATTTTCACTTTTATTATGTGTGTGAGTATGCATACATAAAACATGCATTTCCTGGATAGGTTTTCCCTTGACATTAAGTCCAGTTGTTTCCGACTCTGGGGGTTGGGACTCATCTCCATTTGTAAGCTGACGAGCCGGTGTTGTCCGTAGACACCTCCAAGGTCATGTGGCCGGCATGACTGCATGGAGCGCCATCACCTTCCCACTGGAGCGGTACCTATTGATCTACTCACATTTGCTAGGTAGGCAGAAGCTGGGGCTAATAGTGGAAGCTCATCCCATTCCCCTCATTTGAACCTGTGATCTTTTGGTCAGCAAGTTCAGCAGCTCAGCGCTTTAACCCATGGAACTACCTTACTTTTACTTACTTTACTTAGGCGATCCCCCGTTTTCCGAGGATGGTTGTCTTTCAATATTCTTGTGGGTCTGTATGTGGCTGTGGAGCCCTATTCTTGACCTGCATGTTCTCCTGCAGTGAGGGCATCGGTTTCCAGGTGGAAGGCAGTCCTGGTCAGGGTTGGCTTGATGCACCTTCCCCTTGGCATATTTCTCCCTTTCGCCCTCCATTCATGCCTCTTCAAATTATGCAGCACTGCTGGTCACAGCTGACCTCCAACCGGAACACTCAAGGGCCAGGGCTTCCCAGTTCTCAGTGTCTATGCCAGAGTTTTTAAGGTAGGCTTTGAGCCCATCTTTAAATCTCTTTTCCTGTCCTCCAGCATTCCATTTTCCATTCAGAATAGAGCAACTGCTTTGAGAGACGGTGGTTGGGCATCCGGACATTTGCCCACTTGTCTTCCCAAGAGATTTGCAGGATTTTCCGGAGGCAGCGCTGATGGAATCGTTCCAGGAGTTGCATGTGACGTCTGTAGAGAGTCCACGTCTCGCAGGTGTATAGTAGGGTTGGGAGGACAATGGGTTGGCTTGATGCAAGTTCCTCTTGGCATGTTTCTCTCTTTCTCCCTCCATTCGTGCTTCTTCAAACTTCACAGCACTGCTGGTCACAGCTGACCTCCAGCTGGAGCGCTCAAGGGCCAGGGCTTCCCAGTTCTCAGTGTCTCTGCCAGAGTTTTTAAGGTTGGCTTTGAGCCCATCTTTAAATCTCTTTTCCTGTCCACCAACATTCCGTTTTCCGTTCTTGAGTTCGGAGTAGAGCAACTGCTTTGGGAGACGGTGGTCAGGCATCCGGACAACGTGGCCGGTCCAGCGGAGTTGGTGGCGGAGGACCATCGCTTCAATGCTGGTGGTCTTTGCTTCTTCCAGCACGCTGACGTTTGTCCACTTGTCTTCCCAAGAGATTTGCAGGATTTTCCGGAGGCAGCGCTGATGGAATCGTTCCAGGAGTTGCATGTGACGTCTGTAGACAGTCCACGTCTCGCAGGCATATAGCAGGTTTGGGAGGACAATAGCTTTGTAGACAAGCACCTTGGTATCCCTACGGATGTCCAGGTCCTCAAACACTCTCTGCTTCATTTTGAAAAATGCTGCGCTCGCAGAGCTCAGGCGATGTTGTATTTCGGTGTTGATGTTTACTTTGGTGGAGAGGTGGCTGCCAAGGTAGCAGAAATGATCAACATTTTCTAATGTGACACCATTAAGCTGTATCACTGGCATTGGAGAGGAGTTGGCTGGTGCCTGCTGGAACAGAACCTTAGTTTTTTCAATGTTCAATGACAGGCTGAGCTTCACTGCACTACCAGGGCTTCTATGGACAGGAGAACAGTATTTTCTGTGCAAAGCAGTATTTCCTACTCTTAGGAAACACAGAACAGATAGATAGAGAGATAGATTGACAGAACCCTATATTATAATTGGGTCTGTCTGTCTCTGTCTGTCTATCATCTAGCAATTGTCTGTTTGCTCAGAGAACATGTTTTCTGTGTGTCCTAACAGCCAAGAATCTTCCAGAAAAAGTTGGCTTGCGTCTCTTCTTCCAAAGCTGTTTCTGAAGTGTTGGGAAACCCCATTCTTGGCCGGGAGACACATACTGAATATTCATTCCATTCCTTGTCTGGATAGGTTCCTGGATAGCATCTGAAATGTGTTTGTTTTCTAAACCGAAAATGTCTCTCTTGCTTATATTTTCTTGGAAGCCTGCGTATCTGGTTTAGAATCTCTGATTTCCATCTTCAGTGCGAGAAGATTGCAACGTTGCTTCATTGAATGAGACATTCGGCTACAGAAAAGTGCATGTTAATCTTGAAAGTGGGCATAATATCGCTGAATCTTACACTAAACCTAAGGCAATTAATAGGCCTGGGTAACAACGCAAAAATTTGTTTCTAAAATCGATTTGTATTTGGGGGGTTTTTGCGTTTCGATATTTAAAATAATTACAAAATTTTCCTTTGAAAAAGTTCAGTATTTACGAAATTTCGTTAATTTCGTTAATTTCGTTTTTAGAATATTTTTTGAATTTTTTTGAAATATTTATTTATAAATATTTTTTGAAATATTTAAAAATGGAAAATTAACAATGCTTGCCCTGTTGTGGAGCGAACACAGCCACAGGACAGGGACAAACTCACACACACAGGCACACAAGGGTCTTTTCTTTTTTTAGAATATTTTTTGAATTTTTTAAGAATAAAAGAAAGATATTTTTCAGAAATATTTAAAAATGCTTGCCCTGTTGTGGAGCGAACGGCAAAGCCTCCCCGCTGCTCCCAGCCCAGGGAATGAATGAATGCAAGCCAAGCCTCCCTCCCGAACCTCCCGTCTCCTCGCCTTCCCCAGCAATGAGCAATGCGGCCACGCGGAGCCGCTTTTAAAGGGCAGCCCGCCCAATCACAATCAGCCACGGTGCTTGGGAGCGCAGGATTGGCTCCCAGCGCACCCAGCATCCTCCATCCCTAAAACGTCATTTCCGAAACGGGCGGAAGCCCATAAAAAAGATGGAGGATGCCGTTTCGATATTTAAAAACACTTCCGGGTTTGAAAATATGTTTTGTAATCGTTTTGTAATTGCTAAAAATAACGAATATTTAACGAATTACAAAATTAACGAACGAAACCGCCCAGGCCTAGCAATTAACCCTTATCTGCTTATCTTATGATGCAAATATGAATGAGGAATTAAGAACTAAATGTCTTCTAATGCAAAAATAATACAAAATGTGTATTTCTTGGGACTCAAATGTGACTCAGCAATTGCCAGCAGATGCCTTTGGTTGAGATTGAGGAAGCTGCTATGGAAACATGATGGAAGCCTCAGCATAATCTTCCCTTTCTCTTTCTCTGCAGCAGATGTGGTCCGCTGTTTGATCAGCGCCCTCCAGGTGGGCTGCGAGATTTTCGCTTGCCTGGAAAACGCCACATGCGAAACGGGCGGCATGTACGACATATGCAAATCCTTCCTGTACAGTGCTGCTAAATTTGACACTCAGGTACGTCTCGGGGCTTCATCTCTCCTTTGGCTGGTGGCTTCTTTGCTGATGGGACAGGGAGGCAGAGCAGAACGAGTGGTGGTGGTGGGAAGGATTCTGCCTATGCTTTGTGCAGGTTCACAGCTTGGGTGTGATCTTGGACTCGTCGCTGAGCCTGGAACCCCAGGTTTCAGCGGTGACCAGGGGAGCATTCGCACAGTTAAAACTTGTGCGCCAGCTGCGCCCGTACCTTGGGAAGTCTGACTTAGCCACGGTAGTCCATCCCTGGTTAGTAGGTTTGGGTAACAACAGAAAATTTTGTTTCTAAACTCGTTTCGTTTTTAGGGGTCCATCGCGTTTCGTTTTTTTAAAGAATTCCGAAATTTTCCTTTTAAAAATTTCGAAATTTACGAAATTTCGTATAATTACGAATCGATTCGTTAATGGCGGACGCGATTGCGCAATATGCTAAAAAAACTTCCAAATGGGACAGGGGGAACTTCTGAAGCTTCCCTCTCCCTCTGTTGTTGACTGTTGGTGTGATAAAACAAACAACAACTATAAAACTTGCACCAGACATTTATTATTTATTTATTTATTACTTGCACTTATTTACCGCCACTCTCAGCCCAGGGGGCGACTCGTGGCGGTGAACAACAACATAGAAAAGACAGTTTACAGTCATCAGAACAATACAACACATGCTACTACTACTAAACATATACTTATACTAAAAATCCGCTTCGTCGTATCATGGGTCATAGTCAGTCTCATAGTCGTAATCCATTCCGGTCGTCATTGCCAAGGATAGTAATCAATTGAAGGCCAGCTCGAAGAGCCACGTTTTCAGGCTCCTACGAAAGGCCGTAAGGGAGGGCGCCTGTCTAACTTCGGCAGGGAGGGCGTTCCACAGCCGGGGTGCCACCACCGAGAAGGCCCGCTCTCTCGTCCCCGCCAGGCGTGCCTGTGAGGCAGACGGGACCGAGAGAAGGGCCTCCCCAGATGATCTCAAGGTCCTCGTGGGCTCATAGGCCGAGATGCGGTCCGCAAGGTATTTTGGGCCGGAACCGTTTAGGGCTTTGTAGGATAACACCAACACCTTAAATTGGGCCCGGTAGCAGATCGGCAGCCAGTGGAGCTGGGACAGTAGGGGCGTTGTGTGCTCCCTACGCCCTGCTCCTGTTAACAACATGGCTGCCGCGCGCTGGACTAGCTGGAGCTTCCGGGCCGTTTTTAAGGGCAGCCCCACGTAGAGAGCGTTGCAGTAGTCGAGGCGGGATGTGACCAAAGCGTGTACCACCGTGGCCAAGTCAGACTTCCCAAGATACGGGCGCAGCTGGCGCACAACCAGACATGCGAAAATAATTACGAAATAATTACGAAATAATTACGAAATAATTACAAAATAATTACGAAATAATTACAAAATAATTACGAAATAAATTGAAAAAATTGTTTCGAATCTAATTTACTCCTCACACTATTCCTGCATGGCTCAATATTGGATCGTAAGCTAATTTAAATACGAATTAATAACGAATTACGAAATTAATGAATGAAACCGCCCAAGCCTACTGGTTACATCCCGTATAGACTACTGCAATGCTCTCTACGTGGGGTTGCCTTTGAAGACTGCTTGGAAGCTTCAAATGGTCCAGCGTTCGGCAGCCAGGTTGCTAACAGGAGCGGCACTCAGGGAGCACACAACTCCTCTGTTGCGCCAACTCCACTGGCTACCAGTCTGCTACCGGGCACAATTCAAAGTGCTGGCGTTAGCCTATAAAGCCACTTTTACCAGGGCAAGATTCGAACAAATTGAATCCATGGAGAGACATGGCAGATTCAATCATATCCCATACGAAGAAAGGCTATGTATCTGTGGTGCCCCTGAAGTCGAAAATCTGGACCACACTTTACATCAATGCAATCTATATGAAAAAGAAAGGAAACAATACTTATGGCCTTTTATTTGCAATAAAACAAGTTGGGATACAGCAGCCAAAACTTCATTTCTGTTGGCTGGTTATAACCCCATTCTGACAACACAAGTTGCCCTTTATCTGTTTAAAGCTGCTAAAAGGAGATCAGAGTACATAGATCAGATTGGGGTGCAGTGTAGGGGAGATGAGGATAGTTGATGCATATATCTATGGCTACCTGTATATTTGTATTTTATTTTAAGAGGACTAGATGTATGTTGTATGTTATGTCTGCATTGTTTGTTTTTGATAACGCCAATTGGCTAATCAATAAAATTGTTGTTATAAACGGTTCTGGCCCTACTTACCTCTCCGAACGCATCTCCTCCTATGAACCAGCTAGGACACTAAGATCATCTGGGGAGGCCCTGCTCTCTGTACTGCCTGCATCACAGGCACGCTTGGCGGGAACAAGAGACAGGGCCTTCTCAGTGGTGGCCCCTCGGCTGTGGAACGCCCTGCCTGCAGATATCAACTCGGCCCCCTCCCTGCTGGCGTTTCGGAGGAAAGTGAAGACCTGGCTGTTCGAACAAGCATTTGATTAAACAGTGTAATTGAACGTAGGAATACGGAATAATGGATGACGAGACTGGATTCTGATTTTACTGTTGAGGCGCTAATGATTGTTATACTGATGTTAATGATTTATGTGACAATTGTTTTTAATTGCCCTATACTTGTTTTGTGATATTTTGTACTGATGTTGTTCACCGCTTTGAGTCGCCTGAGGGCTGAGAAAAGCGGTATAGAAATAAAGTAAATAAATAAGTAAATAAATAAATAGAAACATAGAGTTGGAAGAGATCTCATGGGCCATCCAGTCCAACCCCATTCTGCCAAGAAGCAACAAAATAATAATAATAATAGTAATAATACTTTATTTGTACCCCGCTAAAAGGTAAAGGTAGTCCCCTGACATCAAGTCCAGTCATGTCTGACTCTGGGGTGTGGTGCTCATCTCCATTTCTAAGCCGAAGAGCCAGCGTTGTCCGTAGACACTTCCAAGGTCATGTGGCTGGCATGACTGCATGGAGTGCCGTTACCTTCCCGCCGAAGCGGTACCTATTGATCTACTCACATTTGCTAGGTAGGCAGAAGCTGGGGCTAGTAGTGGAAGCTCATCCCACTCCCCACATTTGAACCTGAGATCTTTTGGTCAGCAAGTTCAGCAGCTGAGTGCTTTAACTCACGGCACTACCTTACTTTTACTTACTTTACTTAGGCGATCCCCCGTTTTCCGAGGATGATTGTCTTCCAATATTCTTGTGGGTCCGTATGTGGCTGTGGAGCCCTATTCTTGCTCTGCATGTCCCGCAGTGAGGGCATCGGTTTCCAGGTGGAAGGCAGTCCTGGTCGGAGTTGGCTTGATGCAAGTTCCTCTTGGCATGTTTCTCTCTTTCTCCCTCCATTCGTGCCTCTTCAAACTTCACAGCACTGCTGGTCACAGCTGACCTCCAGAAGAAGCTAGGGCTGACAGCGGAAGCTCACGCCGCTCCCCGGAATCGAACCTGCGACCTTTCGATCAACAAGCTCAGCAGCTCAGTGCTTTAACCCACTGCGCTACTGGGGGCTCCTGTACCCCCCTACCATCTCCCCAAGGGACTCTGTGTGGCTTACATGAGGCCGAGCCCACAATACAACAACAAAAACAATAGCAATAGTAATACAAACAATAAATAAACTCATAAACAGAAAATAGCAATAAACATTAACAATAACACAGCGACATTTAAAAACCTATGGCAGGGCCAAATGTACTAATTAAAAATTTAAAAATAATGCTGGGCATGACCAGGTGACATATAAACAAGATAGAAATTTTGGAGAGGGATAGAGCGTGCAGACAATCCTAGATCATTAAAAAGTGCATTTAGGGACATATTGCTGGGAGCACACTGGAACAACCACGTTTTCATACGCCATCATTAGAACAGTCTCATCAGCCATATCATCGTTCCAGTCACATTCCCTTAAAGTGCTGCTTGCATCTATTGTCCAAAAGTCTGGTCCCAAAACCATGCCTTTAATTTCTTTCGAAAAGCTAGGAGGGAGGTGGCCAATCTTACCTCAGTTGGGAGTGTGTTCCATAGGCGGGGGGCCACCGCCAAGAAGGCCCTGTCTCTCATCCCCGCCAGGCACATTTGTGCTGTTGATGGGAGCGAGAGTAGGGCCTCCCCGGATGGTCTTAGGTTTCGAGGTGGGATGTAGGGGTGGATGTGTTTGGACCAGTAAGCTGGGCCAGAACCGTATGGCTATCCAGCTTCTGTTTAAAAGCCTCCAAAGAAGGAACATCTGCCACACTATGCAGCAGAGAGTTCCACTGCTGAACAGCTCTCGCATAGAATCATCGTGTTCGAAGAGATCTCATGGGCCATCCAGTCCAACCCTCTCGTCCAGAAGCAGGAAAATCACATTCAAAGCATCCCCAACAGATGGCCATCCAGCCTCTGTTTCAAAGCCTCCAAAAAAGGAGACTCCACCACACTGCGGGGCAGAGAGTTCCACAGCTGAACAGCTCTCACAGTCAGGAAGTTCTTCCTAATGTTCAGGTGGAATCTCCTTTCCTTTAGTTTGAAGTAGGTAACAACGGAAAAATTTGTTTCTAAAATCGATTCGTTTTTTGGGGTTTTTTGCGTTTCGTTATTTAAAATAATTACAAAATTTTCCTTTTAAAAAGTTCGATATTTACGAAATTTCATAAATGTGAAAAAAATTTCAAAACATTAACGAATCGATTTCCGAAACAATAACGAATCGATTCGTTAATGGCGGACGCGACCGCGAAATACACTAAAAAACCTCCAAAAACTTCTGAAGCTTCCCTCTCCCTCTGTTGTTGACTGTTGGTGTGATATTATAATTTTTTTTCACTAATTAAACAAAAAACAACCATAAAACTGGCCCTGACATGCGGAAATAATAACGAAACGACTTCAAAACAATAACGAAACAAATACAATAACGAAATACGAAGCATTTACAAAACTATTTAAAAATTCGTTTTTAAAAAAATTGCTCCAGAATGGTTCGTTATCATTTTGT